TGATTTTGTCTCACGAAAATACACCCCCTTCTACCCTTAATTCAATTTTAATTAAAAAAATCATAACTCCTTGCAGAAACACATTGCTGGGAATATTTTTTCATGAAACCATCGAATTTGGCATGCTTATTAACCCCAGATGGGTCAATGATTTTGTCTCACGAAAATACACCCCCTTCTACCCTTAATTCAATTTTAATTAAAAAAATCATAACTCCTTGCAGAAACGCATTGCTGGGAATATTTTTCCATGAAACCATCGAATCTGGCATGCTTATTAACCCTAGAGGGGTCACTGATTTTGTCTCACGAAAATACACCCCCTTCTACCCTTAATGTGAATTGCGGTGAAACGACCTATGGCGGAATAGCGCGCTCGCCTCTCTTTCACCAAACACATGGATGAAAACACATGGCTACCTTCACACTGGTCTCATTGTAGGGTGGCCGGTATCTAAGGTCAAAGCTTAAAAAACAATTCTGCACTTATTTGCATATACTACGATTCCTATGGGTTTATTCATGAATATTGTAGAGAATTAGGTTCACTACAACTTTTGATTGATTTTTTTTTATTTTTAACTATTTTCGAGATAGAGGGCAGAGAGTGCGCAATGTTTAACTATTTAGAGTATTATGGTAGGACGGCAGCCTGGTGGGTTGACGTTGGTGGTCAGTTCTACTCAGTCAATCGACCGTTGTGCGAACCCGTGGTTCGAACCGCAAGGCCGGACGATCGATTTTCACTTCCTATCGTCCAACCCGCGCTAGGAATCACACGTTAAAAGGTAAGACCTTGTTAGTCCTTAGATCGCTCAAGTTTCGACTTTTGAGAGTTGTCGTTCATAGGAGGCGACAGCTGGTTAACGGAAAAACATATTTTAACAGATCACTCGAGGTCAACCGGTAGTCCCGATCAAAAACACACCGGATTAAGTTTATTGATTACTGTTAAATATATAATTCTAAATAATTTGCATATTATATTTGAAATTTTTTTCATTATCATTATCAAATTCTGCTGATTTTTGAATTGTTTCGATTTTTGTGTCATAATATCAAACGGTATAACTAAATTATTAATGAAAAATTCAATCATACATATCGTTAAATCAATGTTATTCTGAAAAAAAGTTTGTTAGTTAATGAATGATTTATGATGTACTGATGATGTACTGTTTGGAACCTTTGGTGTAGTAATGAATATTACTGGAGTTTTATCCCAACACCAAATCGTTATTTTCAACACCTCGACACGTGTTTCGATCACCAAGTTATCATCTTCAAGAGGAAGATAAAACTGGAAACTTTGCGAAACTAAAGCTATATATGCTATACAGATATATAATACAGGTAAACCATACAGGTATACCACCCTAAATTAATTNGGCATAACTCTGGAGTAGACTTTTTGTATGGCATGATGATGGAAAAAACTTTTGTGGCTTGTTACTTTCCCCATCAATAAGTAAAAAATGGGAAACTTTAAAATAACGGAAGAAAAAATGAATGTAGGACCTCTTTAATCCGAACACCACTTTGCAAGGCATTGTTCGTTTAAACGAGTCGTTCGGAAAATCGGGGACACGAACATCTGCATATCTACTACAATATCAGTCGCAAATTGTATTAACTTTATTTTATGTTATTCAGTGGTACACATTATTAGGAAAAGAAAATAATATGTAACTAAAATTTCAATTGTATTCTCAACTACTAATGTGCATACATTGTATATGAAGCCACAAAAACTATTCTTCTAGTAATTGTATATGTATTTTGAAATACGCTAAAAACAATATAATTTTTATTCATAGTATGTATTGTTTAGGAGCTATGAAAACTTTGAAATGAAATAACTTCTCTCCTACATTTCAACTTCACGATTGGAACTGAATTTCAAAGTTATTTCATTCAATGGACCAACATCACTCTCATGAGGGTATTTCATTATTTTGTGCTTATTTTTTTATATCCGCTATTGTGCTTTTCCGTAACCATATTTTCACTTGTGTTGGAGTAGCTACCACCAGAGGCAATATTTTTCAAAATATCAATTTTTTGTTTAAAGTTTAGCTTAACGTGCCTTTTTTTCGATATGTTTGACGGTAAATGCCGGACTATGAAATAAATGCTGAGGACACTTCTACACAGTGAACCACTGTATCTTATACGTGTAAGAGTAATAGCACAAGTATCTCTCGAATCATACATTGCGTCAGTGAGCTCCAGACAAGTTTTTTCCTGTCTAAACGCACATTGCTTTCGTGCCGTCCGGATTAACGAGGAAGTGTTCGGAGTATCACTTCATGAAAATGACATTCGGATTACGGAATGGTCGGATTAACGTGTGTTTGGATTAAAGAGGTTGCACTGTATATCAATAAAAAGTCATCAACAGAAATTTCTCTTTGAGACAAACTGGAAGGAAAAGTTTATCCGAAACAACTACTTTCAAGTAAGAGAAAACAGTCGGGTTGAACCTCATCTGTAATTTTCATCGTTTCGACGTTTCGGCTCCTGCTTTGGAGCCATTTTCAAGAATCACTTATATTTGTACTTACATGACTCGAGGACGAGGGCGTAATCTTCCTTGTCCCCAAGTCTCGTTATTAGTTCTATGTTTGCTGTGTTACACTCTAAGTGCGATATATGTTCTCTCTTCCTTTCTGTGTATCTTTTATTAACTTACCAAGTTGCTTTATAGTATGTTTGAAGGTGATTGACAATGTTTCATGATGAATTTCATTAGTTCGGACTTCTTTTGTCTGATATTATATAAAATGATTTGAAATCCCTGAAAGAACTAAAAAAAGAAGAAATTAAAAATTAAAGAAGGAGAATAAAAAAGAATAGCTGAGAAAAAAAGACAATTATATTAAGCATAAAACCTGAAATGAAATAATAGTGAAACGAATTGAAAAAAAAAATAAAATAAAATTCAAAAGTTAGGAGATTCCAAGCCAAGTTAATTCACGATGCGACGTTTCGATTGTTAGTATCCACAATCATCTTCAGGTAGGTGATGACTGGACCGATTCCTCTGTGAGCTGACTATTTATAGGTCATTCGACTACTTTCACTTATCTCTCTGCTTTCCTTCTTCAGCTTCACTGGTTTAGTGGAAAATTACTGTTTGTCGGGAGTTGGCCATTTTTCGCTTCCATATGTTGTGTATCTCTACGCTAGCTTGGCTGAATACATTGTTGGATATAATGTATGCGGCTCCTTTGAATTTTCTCCTAAACCAATGTTCCTCTTTGTGTATGATCTCAGCTTGGGGCCATTCGATGTTATGTTAATGGGTCCAAACATGCTCTGCTATTCCTGATTCGCTTTATAGTAATTGAAACTTTGATCAAGAAACTATTATTTTTTTTTCATTTCAGGGTGGCTATCCAGCAAAATTGAAAAAAGTCCT